AATTATGGACCCCGTGCATATCAAGCCTAGACTTGGACTGTTCAACTGACGTTGACGATACGAACGGGTGTAGACGAGCGTTCGAATCGTTGACGACCCGCGTGCTGAGCGAGTTACGACCGAGGGGAGTCCCAGCTCGAGGTTTTCTGAGCTTGCATTGGTGTCCTCTCGTCACCTCCGAGTTGTGCCTTGTCAGGAACTCCTCTTCCGACAGCGACGTACCTCCGTGAAACAGCCGACACACTGTAACCATGTCTCCCCTGCGACGACGACAGTCAAAAGAGGGCAACTGGAGGAGTCTGAGGCTCTCAGAGTATGGCCGGTGCCTTACGTCATGGACAAGACGGGTAGCTCGTTGCTGAACCCGCTCCAGCCGCTTCTGGTCCAGTTTGCCGAACGGGCCCCAGACGGCATTGCCAATACTCCGAGCACGGACGTACTAGGATCTTGAAGAGCAATGGCGACGCGTGAACATCGATGTCGGCAAAAGACCGCCTGACGACTGCCAGCACCTGGTTGGTCTTCGAGATCGTCTACGCCGTCCCCACACGGAGATTGAGCCTACGACCCACGAAGATTCCGAGGTCTTTCCGGTGGACTCGGCTGCGATTTCGACGCCGTCCAAGAAGTACTTCAGTCTCAAATTACAGTTGCCGATATGCATTTTTTGCACTTCGTTGCACTAGAGTGGAATACATCACATGCAATATATGCTCAAGTGGATCATAGAAATATATCTGACAGTAAATGCTACATGAAAACCATAGTGTTTCTTTTTAAGGGTGACTGAACTGCTAGTATTTCTGAAAGGCTGGTGCTACATATGGAGTGGTACTGAATGGCGAACCTGGGGGCAACACTGTCCACAGTCCATGCTGAAACAGCATGGTTGAGAAAGGAATTGGAAAACTGAGACCATTCATTCATGTGCCTCAATCAGTGGTGAAGATTTGGTTAACAAGTTCAAATGATCCTTCATTAATACAAGAAAAATCCCCAGGTTTGCTTTCCATCAACATGTCTAAATTTCTTACACACTTGTGAGAAGGAAGTAGTTGCTTCAAATGCTATCAATCAGATGTCATAACATCATCTCAAACAGGGCCTGGCTTCACGATGCTATGGCACCTTTAAGTTATCTTAACAACTCACATTTTTACATGCCTTAACTGAGTTTGAGCCTGAGACATGAGCTTGTTCAACTGTTTCTGTCTGGACTAAGTTTGTTATTTGTTGAGTTGCTGAGCCCAATGCCCTGAGTCCAATTCACTTGGAGGTTTAACCAAATTTGAATCTGAGTTCCAAAAACTGTGAGCTGATACTCAAACCCAAGTCCAGTGAGACTACATGTGCCATCAAACCCAAATGCTACTCAAAAGTGCATTATGTGGCATTAACAAACATGCATAAATTATTTTCTAAAGCCTCACTCAGTCATCAGCTTACACTGAACTGCAAATACTAATACAACAAATATTTTTCATTGCTGATTTCATGATTTTGTGTGGTTTTCTGAACCTTTATTTTTCTCTTTCATGCTCATATATGTTCATTTAATACTGGGACTAAACATCATATGATCATACATTTGGGGGAGCATATTTACACTTTTTTGGCACCTTTTAATGCATGATACAATCAACCACTCATAAACATTGATCAAACATTCAATATCATCACTTTCAGCAAAAGGTGGGTATGTTCAAGACTTGACACTCTAACACAGCATACATTTCATCCGCTAAAAACTTAAGTATATTAGCATGGTACACTGCATCATTTTTTTTCTGATATCACAGATGAAAATGATTCCATCCCCTACTCAGTTCAGTGTCTCAAATTATGTACAGCATGATTCTGGGTACATCACAATGCAGAAGGTGCTGGCAGCAATGCAATTCAAACCTCCTTTCTACAATAAAACTGCTGTATAAACAGTCATGACATGGGTACCAATCCAGGATTGTGATGGGGCAAGTGCATTAGGACTTTTCATGGCAATCTGGCATTGCAGATCCAGGACCCCACGCCACTTTTTACAGCAATGCAAATGTAAAAATATCAATATCAGCCTCACTAATCAAGCCATCATATAAAGGCATCATAAACTTGCTGACAGTCTGAACCTGATTTTTTAAAATATGTAACTCTGCTCCAATAACTGCTCAACACTTCTGGATATTGGACACATGGCAATTTACGTGTTGTGACTCTGTCCAGGGTGCTTAACAAAACATTAGAAGAAATGAAATGTCGAAAATCATCACAAGTTTGTCTAGCTTGAGGACCTATGCTAGCCTCAGGAGTGCAGATTTACCAGCATTCCCTAAAAATCAAAATGCACAGAGCACACATACCTTCCAGGCCAAGCTAGCACCAGTAGTAAGGTTATGTCTAAGGCGGCAATATCCACGGTTCTTCTAGCCAGAAATATCCACGGTTGTAACATCCACGGTTCGCAATGTGCACGGTTTTCCTAACATCGGCCTTTCCATTGTCCCATTTTTCATATTCCACTCCAAAACTGTATTGCATGCGCCAGAACTGCAACGCTTGCGTTACAAGAGTATTAAAAATTCACGTAACGTTTCCAGAAAACTTATAACTATGCATTTCCTTTTGCCACATGCGGTACTTTACACATGATATAATACAAACTTAGACGAATTCTGATTCTGGAGTCAGTTCCGTTACACTGGAATCGTAAAAACCGTACAGCTAGCCACTGGGGTGGGTCCAATGGGGGCACTCTCATTTCCAATTTTCTGAGAGAAGAATGCAGACCCGAGCAATTTTTCCCGTAATTCGTGGGGTGGATGTGCTAAAATCATTCCATTGTGCATGCTATTCTCAGGTTAGATAGCCCCGCCTCGCTAGATTCCTGCTAGATCCCTCCAATGCCCAACTCCCCAACCTCAGAAACATGGCTACCCCTATCATAAGAATATATATTGCAGTAAAAAACTGGAATTGAATCTATGGTTTTTTGCCAACACAATTTATAAATATGCGTGGGATGGTTCTCGTGCAACCGGACTCCATTAACAAGTCAAAAATTCACTTCAGTATTTGGTCCCTATAGCGTCAGTGTTTTAGTCTCACTCATGGGAATAAAGCGAATGAGGCGCCATTGATTCATTAGCTGTTGCCTCCTGGTTCGACGAAATAACACGATATGTTTTGACGTCTGTCAATCTAGCAGCAGATTGATATCCAAGTGCCAGTTGGATATTGCGGGGCATCTCGATTACCTTGAAATTTGATGTGCAGGGCCTTCTCAACACGCTTATTCCGAAAATTACTGCCTTTGGGGTGGAATTTTGCGTAATTTCCGAGTTATACGCCGCGTAACATCCCAATGTCATATTGCGGGCGTTTCGATTGCCTCCAAATTTGGTGTGCAGAGCCTTCTCAACACGCTGATTCCGAAAATCACTGCCTCAGGGGTGGAATTTTGCGTAGTTTCCGAGTTATACGCTGCGTAACTTCCCAATGTGATATCGCGGGGCGTCTCAATTGCCTCCAAATTTGGTGCGCAGTGCCTTCTCAACACGCTGATTCCGAAGATTGCGGTCTTTAGGGTGGAAATTTGCGTAATTTCCGAGTTATACGCCGCGTAACATCCCAATGTGATATTGCGGGACGTCTCAATTGCCTTGAAATTTTGTGTGCAGGGCTTTCTCAACACGCTGATTCCGAAAATCACTGCCTTTGGGGTGGAATTTTGCGTAATTTCCGAGTTACACGCCGTGTAACACAACAGTTGGATATTGCGGGGCGTCTCGATTGCCTTGAAATTTTGTGTGCAGGGCCTTGTCTACACGCTGATTCCGAAATTCACTGCCTTTGGGGTGGACTTTTCCGTAATTTTTGAGTTATACGCCGCGTAACATCTCAATGTGAGCGGGGCGTCTCGATTGCCTTGAAATTTGGTGTGCAGGGCCTTCTCAACACGCTGATTCCGAAAATCACTGCCTTTGGGATGAAATTTTGCATAAGTTTTTAGTTATGTGCTGCGTAGTATCTCAATGTGATATTGCAGGGCGTCTCGATTGCCTTGAAATTTGGTGTGCAGGGCCTTCTCAACAGGCTGATTCCGGAAACCACTGTCTTTGTTGTGTAATTTTGCGTAACTTCCGAGTTAAACGACGCGTGACACCTCAGTTGCGCTTTGGAATATGTGTCCTGGAATTCGCCTTTGGGCCTGTCCCTATCAGTTTACTGGAGGAGGTCAGTTCGCGAAATGTGATTGATAACCGTGTGGTATGTGATATCATTAACTTAGTGGTATCACCAAGTGGCATCTCTCTCAGCTTTGTTTCGTTTCTGACCTTTAAGGTGGTTGAGTAATAGTCCGATGTAGCCACGAGCATTGCTTGTCCTGACCAAAAACAAACTGACAAGATGTCGCTAGTGACCAAACCAATCGTGCTTCACCGCTGGAGCCTGAAGATTTGGGTGATGTCACCGTCTGTCTTATCTCCCAAGAACGCTGGTGGCGCTGGTGGAACAGGGCATGCTACTTGTGCACGTCATGCCCATGTTGTTGGCTGCCCGGCAACATCAGCCCGCTGCTGCTGACCGTGGTGGAGACGCTGCACTTCACGAGCCCGCCGGACGGCGGTGGCGACACCCCGGTGGTCAGCGTGTTGAGAAGGCCCTGCACACAAAATCTGGAGGCAACCGAGAGGCCCCGCAATATCACATTGAGATGTTACATGGCGTATAACTCGGAAATCACGCAAAATTCCACCCCAGAGGCAGCGATTATCGGAATCAGCGTGTTGACAAAGCTCTGCACACCAAATTTGGAGGCAATCGAGGCGCCCCACAATATCACATTGGGATGTTACGCAGCGTATAGCTCGAAAATTACGCAAAATTCCACTTCAAAGGCAGTGATTTTCGGAATAAGCGTGTTGAGAAGGCCCTGCACACCAAATTTCAAGGCAATCGAGACGCCCCGCAATATCCAACTGGCAATTGGATATCAATCTGCTGCTAGATTGACAGACGTTATGTTTTGATGTTTTCAGATACGCAAGGCATTGCCCGAATGTGTTACGGAGATTTCCATATGAACACATTATTCCCGTTTTTATGTGCTTAAGTTGACAACAGATTGGGAGGTTTGATCATGCATTAACCCTTGCATTCATCCCTGAAATACAATGGAAACGATTTTCTTTGGAAGTGGGGTGTCTAAAAGTGTAGCCAAGGGGGTCATCATCTTATGCACCTTGGCAATAAGTTCACTGATAATTAGCCATACAATATCACAGTACATCCAAGATGATGAGAATGCTTCACACATGCCTAACATTATATTGATTGTTACTGATGATCAAGACATGCTACTTCAGGGCATGGTATGTATCCCTCATTTAGGACAGAACAAATCCAGTTGTACTTGGTGCATCTTTAAGTTGCAGATTTACTTAAAGCATTGAGTCTAGGAGGCCAGCAGAGTTTTCCTATGCACTACCTCCAGTCAAATGAGATGAATGTTTGAAATATGACATGTGGTCTGTGACATCACTCAGTTATAGCTGTTGCCAGCAAGATGATGCAAACAATCAGCCATATAAGACCATAGGCCACTGGTGCAGAATATTTTGACTTGATGTATCTTCCTGTTATCACACAATTTGGTCTGGTTGTGGCCCCTTAGGAAACAGGATGGGTAATTATTGATGGAGAGAACTAAGTTTGGGTAATTTTGACAATAATGGATGCTAAGCATATTTCTTGCAAGATTCAAGTATAAGGTGCTTTCATTATGGCTGTGTACTTGACCCATGTTTACATGTTACTGCAACATGTAGCTTACATTTTCAGGAACCCATGACATTCACCAAGACATTCTTTGAAACTGGTGGGATCACATTCAAAAATGGTGTAAGTATCTCATTTATGTTTGTGAGTGTAAGTGCAGTCTGCTTTAAGTTTTGCTCAGATAGTATCAACTAGGGTTAGAGGTGAAATGCATGACCAACAATTTTGTAAAGCCTTTAACCAACAATGTTGTAATTTCTTTTATTTGTAATGCATTATGACCCCATTTTCAAGAAGCAAATGGTGCAGATGATACAGATGATCATTTCAATATAGTATTACAGATATCATACCACAAATGAAGAAAAACAAATGCTTCATGTATGCCCACATTCACTGACACAATGAAGATCCCAGCTCGATAGGTGTAACTCCACATGCACTTGTCATGTTCACACCCACCAACAAATTTGTGAGGTCCCAACACTTTCAGTGGCTGAAAGGTTAAGGTAGCCACATTGTCAAAGTGTGGTGGGCAGTTGTGCTGCCACTGAGGTACCACATTATTGTGTGTCTGTGGCAGTTCGTCTCCACGCCGGTGTGCTGTCCGAGCCGAGCCTCTATGCTGACCGGCCGGTACCAGCACAACACGCGCGTCATCAACAACACCCTGCGGGGCAACTGCTGCGGCAGCGACTGGCGGCACGGCGCGGAGCGGCGCACGGTCGCCGCTCACCTCCGCCGGCGCGGCTACCACACATTTTACGCTGGCAAATACCTCAACCAGGTGAGCCGACGCCCAGCGGCGTTCAGTTGATGTTGCAGTCGTGTGAGCAACTGGTGCGAGCTTCACACATGTGTGTCTTCGTCATGTTTAGACAGCAGTTTTCTGGCTGGAAACATTATTGGAATGCCAGGTTTTTAAGAGACAGTGCCGACGTCGTGACCTGTGTTCGCGCACCTATTCTAAGGTCGATGCTTAGCCACTAGGGTGAGACCTGAGAGGATGAGACCTCGAACAGAGACTGCCTTCTGCAAACTTAGGAATTGTTTGCTCACGTCAATGGGATTGGTTAACTTAACATGACCGTCATAACTAGCTTGTTTAGAGCGAATTGACCACCGCCTCGTTCTCGCATAGCTGCATTTGCCGATTGGAATCTTGCGTACCGTGTTGATGAGAGCATACATTAAAAGCCGCCACGCGACGGAAACCACGACTTTGTGTGCCTGAAAATGATTTGTACTAACATCACGAGTAATGGTTACCGCGCAGAGCCATAGGTGTAACTAATATCCTTTCGTGTCACAAGGATATGCCACGATGCCAATTATCCGCTATCCACCAATGAAACAACACGATGATAATGCGAGACCAGACGACGATGTTTCCATTGTCGAGCTCATAAGTGTATATGGCACATCATGGTCATTCTAGGACCAACAACATTGACCACAAACTTTGCGCACATCGCTTGTACCCGTTCCGCGCTAATGCCCGCCAAAACAAACAGGCATGCTACGAGATCAAACACTCTAGTCCAGCACCTGGGCTGCTTCAGTCAGAGCGCCACCGCAACACGATGCCTCCAAGGATCAGCATTTCGCAATGAGCCGGGACTTTTGTCACAACACACGAACGACGGCTTGGCGGGCTGCTCCATCAGGACCCCTGTCTCTGTCACTTTGTCGCCGTCAATGGATGCGCCCATGTACATAACAAGTTCCAAAGTGAACACCTCAGAACAGTCCCATACGCGCGCTTGTGCAGTCACGTGACGCAGGAGCTGCTGGTCAAAGCACACACGCCTGCCGCCGGGCATCTCGCCACTCTTTACGATCTGGGCCTCGGTGTCAGTCCTGCTGCTGGCTGAGTGGGAGGCAGCCCTGCCAGACGGCTGTGCTCTGGTGCCGCCAGTCCTGCTGCTGGCTGAATGAGAAACAGCCCTGCCAGACGGCTGTGATCCGGTGCCGTCAGTCCTGCGGCTGGCTGAGTGGGAAGCAGCGCTCCCAGACGGCTGTGATCCGGTGCCGTCAGTCATGCGGCTGGCTGAGTGGGAAGCAGCACTGTCGGGCGGCTGTGATCCGGTGCCGCCAGTCATGCGGCTGGCTGAGTGGGAAGCAGCACTGTCGGGCGGCTGTGATCCGGTGCCGCCAGTCATGCGGCTGACTGAGTGGGAAGCAGCACTGTCGGGCGGCTGTGATCCGGTGCTGCCAGTCCTGCGGCTGGCTGAGTGGGAAGCAGCACTACCGGGCGGCTGTGATCCGGTGCCGTCAGTCCTGCTGCTGGCTGAGTGGGAAGCGGTTCTGCCAGACGGCTGTGATCCGGTGCCGTCAGTCCTGCGGCTGACTGAGTGGGAAGCAGCGCTCCCAGACGGCTGTGATCCGGTGCCGTCAGTCCTGCTGCTGGCTGAGTGGGAAGCAGCGCTCCCAGGCGGCTGTGATCCGGTGCACGCCGGGCAGCACCAGCTGGTGGAACACGTAGTCGGCGCCGTGCCAGGAGTAGGGCGCGGCGCACCACAGCAGCAGCAGCGTCTGCAACAGATGCGTCGGCAGTGAAGACGGTGCCCCAGAGGCGGCGGCAGCCGAACCCGCCCATCGCGGGTGTGGGGCCTGGGTGGTCCGACCCAGCCACAGGGGCTTCGGAAGCGGTCCGGATCTACAACGGGCGCGGGGCTCACCAACCGAAAACTGGGCACGCGATGATAACAATGACGAATCTCACTCAGTAATCTGGCGACGGATATTTGCCTTTTGCGCCAATCCATTTCGGTGACCACTTTTTACATTCCCCAAAGCCCAGGCTTTGCTACACTGACGTCGAGTGTTGAGTATTTCGTCGTCACGTCTCACCCGTTAATAGCCGAGATAATATGCCACTAATCTGCAGTGTCAACAACGGCGTATATCTATTGCGAAAGTGCCGCTGAGTCTCAACCAATCTCGTCGCTGATCATCTTCCGTAATGGTCCATTGAATAGTTTCTGTTCATTTCTGCCTTAATGTTCCGTCATAACACGCAGCAGCCTCTGTTCGCTCCAAGACTAACGCATCCTGTAGCAGGCGAACAGTATGCTAGACCCGGCAAAACGAGTGATAGCTGTCCACTCAAAAATTGTGAAAGGCCAGCAGTGAGAGTGGTTGTCCCCGCATCGTTCGAGCAGTGCCGTGTTGTAAACGGCGGATAAGGCTCCTCGGTATCTAAGCTGTTGAAATGGGAGATCAGCTGTGAAAGCCGCTTTTGTAGCAAAGCCCAGCAAAAGAACACGTTGAAACATAAGCACAGTCAGAGAAACAGAATGGTCTTTTGTTTTGTTTGAATGCACGTCTGATAGGGCAGCCGGTTTGCTTAGGTTTGAGATGGTTTGGATGGAGGGATGGAGCCAGTTCTCGCCGCCGGTGTGCGCGATTTTCGTTGCTAGTTTCCATGACTTGGAACGGATCAGTGCAGTACCGATTTTTTTTTCGATTCCGGGGCTACCATTGCATTTTCTGGAGTCAATCCAATCTGTTGCCAACTAGAAATGCAGCCTTATTTTCCGGCGTGTGAAGATGGCTGTATTGTTAGCTGAGTGTGCGGGCCAGGGGTGGAAAGTACTGCGGTGGGGCCTCAGTAGCCCGACCGTAAAAGACTCAGAAGCATCAGGAGACGCGAAATCACCCCGACTTGCTACCTTAAGCGTCCAGGTATGCCGGTTATGAACGCCTGCAGACGGTTTTCGCTGGCGACTGAGATGGCTGCCGACGGCGGCCGTACAACCACCCAGTCCGCGCAGCCAGCGGCGCCGCTGGTCACCGTCGCCGACTCGAGCGCGCGCGCCGAGCGGACGGCCGGGCGCCCGCCAGCGCCGCCCACCAGCAGCACCACGGAACTGATGCCGCCAGCAGCCAAGCAGGCGGCCAGCACGACCAGCACAGCTGCAACAGGAGCGGTCAGAGCTCACTCATCAGGCGGTTCGCACACCCGCGCAGATGCCGTACGAAGCGGGGGGGTGCGATCGGGCAGGTTACGTGGGGGCGAGGCCCACGCGAAAACCGGCATTGTATTATTATTTTCTGAGCACGCCTTTGTTGCGCGGGTCCGCCGCGAGGCGGCATTTTAGATCTGGCAACCCCTAGTTTCTACTCCTTCAATTACATCAGTATTCTGCTTTGACGTCATGACACAAGGCGTTGGCGTGGTTAAGACTAGGATCGTAACCGTTAATTGCGTGGACGGCCATTTAACAACAAGGTAAGATTCAGGGGAAACAAGATCCGAATTTTAACATGCGCCTAGTTCTTTTAAAGAAAGGACACCAGCCCACGTACCTTTGAACCGTGTCTCAAGAGCGTGTGCCATAAACATATGTAGATTACCAGCTGCGATGTTATGGTTATGTGGTGTCTACAGACCACAAACGTTTACCTGCGGTCCAGCCGACACGTCTCATCCGCAAATGGTTTACATGCCGAAGACTGAAGTGAAATATCCCCTCTCCGGCCCGTTAGCTTATACAGCCGGATTTCATAGTGCGTCGCTCGCCGTTCCGTTTCACGAAACTAGACGTTAGCCTGTTGATATCTCGGCCGCCGTATCTCCTCGTTCATGAAAGGAAGCTGCTACACACCGTGAGTTAACGCCGCTCACGCGCCACACACTGGGTAGGAGGGTGAAGTAGGCCTGGAACCGACAAAGCTTGGGTGATCGTGGCCACCTCCACCACCAGTCACTCCAGTCAATGTACCAGCAGTACGGGGTAGCTCTGGTGCGCCGCTCCCCGGTCGGGAGTCTCCGAGAGCCGGCCGCGTCTGAGCGCCACTCACCGACGGACGGAGCGCAGCCGGCCGCGTCTGAGCGCCACTCACCGACGGACGGAGTGCAGCCGGCCGCGTCTGAGCGCCACTCACCGACGGACG